CTATACCTAGGTTTTATTGATAGTTGGGTAGTTGGTGTAGGCTGGGTGGGGTGACCCAGGGAAGTTGATTAAGGCAATAAAGAGAATTAAAGGATATTAGTATAAAGTCAGGTGCGTCCTTTAATCTTATGTATAATTGGCCATACATTTTAGAACAAGTTGGGCCCTAGTCATTATTGAATAGAAATCAATTGAATTTATTGATTAGATAGTTGGAGGTTGGAAGGAATTGTGATGAGAAACAAGATGAATTAGTGCTGCTGTGCGTAAACCTAGGATTATCAGGGCAGTAAATGGGGTGTGAACAGATTTTCATTATTTAATTCTCAGGCATTGTTATATTTTTGTGTTTTAATTATTTTTTTTGGTGTAAAGAAATTGTATAGCAAGAATGGAGCACAGTAGTTTTAATTGAATAATGGAGAATAAAGTTATGATTACGATACCATAATAATAGAGTCATGTGGGGGAGGAAGAGTACCTAGTTAGAGGCATTCATAACCCAGAGGAAGTGTGATTTCTGGCCTTTGTGAAAGGTTAGCGCTGGGAGTAGCTTTACGGTGAGATTATAGTGTGGATATAGACCCGGCATTTTTTGTTTTGTTTTGTTTTGTTTTTGTTTTTGTTTTTTTTTTTTGAGGCGGAGTCTTGCTCTGTCGCCCAGGCTCTGGAGTGCAGTGGCCGGATCTCAGCTCACTGCAAGCTCCGCCTCCCGGGTTGCCATTCTCCTGCCTCAGCCTCCCGAGTAGCTGGGACTACAGGCGCCCGCCACCTCGCCCGGCTATTTTTTTTGTATTTTTAGTAGAGACGAGTTTCACTGTGTTAGCCAGGATGGTCTCGATCTCTGGCCTCGTGATCCGCCCGTCTCGGCCTCTACAAAGTGCTGGGATTACAGGCTTCCGGGCCACCGCGCGGCCCTGGGCCGCGTTTTCCAGGCGTTTTAGTGGGACCAATTCTGAGAACAGGTATAAAAAACTGTGGTTAGATCCTGGAATTTCTGAGCATTTATCCATGAAGAAATGAGGCCTGGTTGTATGACGGTTAAGGCAAATTGGTTTAAGTGTCAGGTATTGCATCTGGCACAGACCCCTAATGAGGAATAGTTCATGAGTGCAGGACATCTTGGGAGGTTAACATACGGATGGGAATTTCCTATTTGAGAGGTTGTTTGGTTATTGGGTCAGGAGTTGGAAGTTCTGTCTGGTTTAAGTTGAGCTGTGCAGATATCTATAAAAAATTGAGCTTAATTCTTCATGAAATCAAGTATACTTATACATTTGATACCATTGATGTCCAATTGTTTTAACAGTGGAGTTATGATTTCATCTGTTATATACAGGCTGTCATACAGGGATGGGAGGGCAATTAAGATTAAGATGATAGCCAGGCAAGATAGTTCAGACAGTCTCTGCTGGGCATCTGTGGTACTGCGTGTAAGATCAATTTTGTTGTGAGTATTGAAATAATGTATAGAACCAGGGAATAGGAAAATAATTATAAAATTTGTGATCATGAAACCAAGTAGTTCTTCTGTAATACATGAATGAGTGTCACTTAGAGATAATTAGATTGGATGCGACCATTAAGATGCATATAGGGCTTAACCTATAACCACTTTGACAAAGTTATGAAATAGCACTACTAATCGTTATTAGCAGAAATCATAGAGGTTGTGGGATTGGCTTGGAAACAGTCTGTAGGTTCAGTTTCCTTCCTTTTTTAGCTCAGGTCTTCATATGGGTTGGTTGTTCAAGTCACTTTTCTTTGGAAAGTACAGTAGGAGATAAAGTAGGTTCCCAGTAGAATTACCCATTTTATTTATGATATATATCTTTTGTCTAAGTATTATTTGACATATATATTACCATAAAATGTAAGCGCTTATGACATCTAATTCTCCCCTCTCATTTAGTTACCCATTTGCATAGAATGTCTTTCCATCCTGCCACTTTCAGTCTATTTTCATCATTAGATCTGAGGAGTGAGTCTCTTGGAGACATGACATGATGGATTTTGTTTTTCTAAATTAAAAAAAAATCCCTTTGCTAATATTGCCTTTTGATTGAGGAAGTTTAGTCCATGCATGACTTCTTCTTTTCTGAAGGAAGTGACTTACAATTACCATTTTATTGTTTTATTTGACTCTTATGCCTATTTTGTCCCTATTCACTTTTGTATTCCTTTTGTATCTTATTAAATGTTTGTAAGTAATACTTTTGTTCTTTTTTATTTTCTAACCATGCTGTTTCATTTTATTATAGTTTCCCATACCAAATTACATAAAATCTCTTAAGAAATTACAACTGTATATTTAACTGTTAACAACTTGCCTCAGTTGCATACAAAATGCCTCATTACATCTGCCCTTAACATAATGTCACTAAATGCCATCATATATTAATGGTGTTTTAATTTTCATGATGTCTCAAATTTTAAAAGCACAATTGTTTTCTGCTAATTATCATAATACTACAAGTTTTACTTTCAATAATACGTGCATATCTTCCCAGAGGGTAGTATACTCTTTATAGATTTGGTTTGTTTCCTATTATTTGTTTTTGAATGGGAAAGACTTCTTTTTGCATTTCTTGCATGGGCCAGTTATATTGCAGTGCTTTCCTCAGCATTTAGTTATCTTGGAAAATCTTTATTTTAAAAAATTTTGTAGGATAGTTTTGCTAAAGTTTTTTTTTACTTCAGCACTTGGAGTATATAACTCAACTCTCTTCTGCAGGTTTTTTTGTTCCAGAAATTCATGATAATCTTGCAGAACATGCATATAGGTGATTCATCTCTTTTGGTCATTCAGATTCTTTTCTGGCTTTCAAACTTTGCGTATATTATAATCAATATCTTGTGCCATGTCTCTGTCCCAGTTCTGGTTGCCCAGGCAGTTTTTAATATTTTTTACATGATATTTCAGTCATTTTTTTGTATACTCTTCTCTAAACTTTTATTTTCTTTTTGTCATTTTTATTGATATTCTTATTTCTAGATTTTGTAATTTGTCTGTGTTCCCATATTAGGCTTTTTGAAAATAATTCAGATGGTTGTGTTGATTTTTTCCAGATAATTTATACAGCTTAATTTCTTTAGGAGTTGATTTCTGCATGCTTGTTTCTTTGAATTTAGGTATCTCCAGTCAGTGTATATATTCTGACATTTGGTTTAGGAAATGGGCCAGACTCCGTCTCAAAAATAAATAAAATAAATAAATAAATAAATAACCACCTATCACAGTCTGTATAAAGTGGCTTTTCTTTCCTGCAGTGTCAGCACCAATTTACCAGGATGATATTGAAATTTCTCAAACCTGTTCTTAGATCTCTCTCTTCCTAGATTTTGTATTCCACTTTATTTAGGTTATATGGATTTTTATATTTCTGCTTAGAGCCTGTAATTGGTTGATATACGGCTGTTTGCTCCTGTAGTCCTACAGTCTCTGTAGCCTGTAGTCATTTACCTTTCTCCTCACAGACCACTACCTGTCATTCAAGTGGCACCACATTTCTTGGCCACTCTGCTCTCTGTAAACAGAAACCAGTCTTTGGAAAGACCCACAAGGCCAGATACGGACCATGTACCCACTATTTTTTTTTTTTTTTTTTTTCGCTTTTAGAGAGAAGCCAAGGGATTGAGGAGTTTACATGAGGCGTTATTCTGTGTTAGGAGGAGGGTACATTAAATCATAACAAGATATTTCCATTTATCTTCTATGTAGCTCTTAGCGTATTCTCATCTATAGCACTGCCATCTCTTAACTAGTTTTCAGAACTCTTACAAAGTATTTTGGTCAATATATTTTTTATTATGTTTGCATGTCTAATAGGAATTTGGGCATGTGTGTGCCATCTTATTGTACTTGGTATAATTTTTATCTTTTGTATTTTATAGAAATATATTCTCCTGAAGTCTAATCAGTATTATAATTTATTTTTATTTCTTTTAGCTGTGTCCTCTCATTTTCTCCAGACCTTTTTTCAAGGCAAACATAAACATTATTCCCAAAGTGATGCACAGGAAGATACTTAAAGCTACTTGACCTCAAATTAAACTTAAGACTGGACAAGTGTACAGAGCGATGCCAAAGGACTGGAAAAAAGAACATAATGAAACAGCAATATTTATCAACTACTATTAGCAAAATCTTTCAATGCGATAGATGCCTTCAAAGCTTACTAACTAGTCCTCCAATCCTTAAGAATTTTTCCATACAGGAGAGAAACCATACAAATGTGAGGAATGTGGCAAAGCTGCCTTGGTTTCTCAAACCTTACTCAAAATAAGATAATTCATACTGTAGAAACCCTACAAATGAAAATGTGTGAAGCCTTTAATCAGTACTCACTGTATTGGACATAAAGAATTCATACAAGAGAAACCTTACACATGTGAAGAGTATGGCAAGCCAACACCAGGGCTCTTACTAGACCACAAGACAACTCATACTGAAAAGACTACGCATGCCAGAATACATGGAGACTTTTAACTGGTTCTCATACTTTCTCGATGTAAGAGGAATTCATACTGAAGAAACACTACAATTGTGAAGAATGTAGAAGAAACACACTGCATGGCTCAACAATCTGACTAAAGCAAGAGATTCATGCAGTACTACAGTAGTGAAGAATGTAGCGCAACCTTTGTGGAGCTCACATCTTATTGGACATAAGAGGAATTCATACTGGAAAGACACAATGTTTGAAATGTGGAAAAGCTTTTGCCATGGCTCAATCAACATTAAACATAAAAGAATTCCTGCTGGAGAGGAAATGCTGCAGATATAGAAGATGTAGCAAAACCTTTAACTTGGAGCTCACATCTTGTGGACTAAGATAATTCATACTGAAGGCAACATGATAAATGTGAAAATGTGGCAAGCTTGCTGGTTCTCAAACCTTACTAACGTAAGAGAATTCCCTTACTGGAAAACCTAGAATTATAAAGATAGGGTAAGTCTTTGATAATCTCAGTCATACTGAATATAAGATAATTAATGGTGAAGAATGTGGAAAAGCTTTTATGCATGGCTCAATCCTTATTAAACATAAAAGAATTCATACTGGAAAGAAATGCTACAGATATGAAGAATGTGGCAAAACCTTTAACCAGAGCTCACATCTTATTGGACACAAGATAATTCATACTGGAGAGCAACACGATAAATGTGAAAAATGTGGCAAAGCCTTTAACTGGTTCTCAAACTTTACTAAACTTAAGAGAATTCATACTGGAGAGAACCCCTAGAATTGTAAAGAATGGGGTAAGTCTTTGACCAATGCTCAGTCCTTACTGAATATAAGATAATTCACATGATAGAGAACCCCTACAATTATAGGGAATGTAGCAATAGTTTTAATTTGTGCTCAACTTTTACTGTAAGTGAATTCATTCTGGAGAGAAACCCTACCAAGGTAAAAAATGTGGCAAAACCATTAATGAATGCTGACATCACAATCTACAGCAATGATTTCATCCTAAATAAAAGTGGTATTAATGTAATGACTGTTGAAGCATCTTTCACAAAGTAGAACCCTTAATGTGCACGAGATTATTTTAGTGAAGGAAAGCATTGTAAATATAAAGAAAGGCACAATACCTTACTTATACCACAGATTTTATTGTACACTGGAAAATTTACACTGAAGGGAAACTCTCCGGGAGTTCCTCAAACTTTCTGTTGGGGAGAAACCCTATGGATGTAATAAATGTGGAAAAACTTCTGTTCCATACATATACCTTACAAAACACTGGAGAGTTTCTAGTAGAATATATTATACAGATTTAGGAACTGTGAAAAATACATTAGAAACCAAGCCTAAGTAAACGTTATAGATTGACAGTAGAAAGCACCAAGGCAGTAACAATTTGAGACATTGCTCTAATCAGTGTTGATTATAGATAATAATTTAAAATAGGTTGCTTACTTGTGTGTAAGTTTAAATGGAGAAGGAGATTGATTTTCTTTTTGGACAGTTATAAATTACATTCAAATTATGCTTTTGGGGATTGGAATAATTACAACTACTTTGAAAAGCAAATATTTATGTGAAGTAAACTCACAAATTTCTTGATGTTATATTGTCATTTCTAGTGCTCATGTGAAAGCATGTGGTTAATGGTTTCTGCATCAGAGCTCGGAGACATCTGCACCATTAATACACTTTTCCCTGGAACACTAAGGACACTTGAATATAAGACGCATGAAGAAAATCTAGGTGGAGAGGCCCTTTATAAAAGTGTAGTAAGTGATTTGTGAGGTAGTTGTTCAGGATAATATGATTATGCATTGTAGGAGAAGAGAAACATTTTGAATCTTAGAAGTGAATTGTTTTACTAGTTACACATAAAAATAATGAAATACTTTGGAGTTTAAAATGCTTTTCGACATATTATTTGAACTTAATTTATTTTAATGGAACAAAGTTGTTTTTAATGTCTTAAGACTATTTTCCATGGAATGAAATGCATCTTACCACCAACATTAACCTATCCCACCTTATCCCATGTTGTAGGTAACTGATGGTCACAATATACTATTGGATAGCATAGTGGAAGGTAACATAGTACAATGACATCTTTTGTAATCCCTTCTCTCAGTGGAATATTGTTACCAGAGGTAATATTTTTATTTTTTTCTTCTTTTTGTAACTATAGGATCATTATGATGGTTACAATAAAGATTACATAAGACTATAATAAATTATATTCACATATTTCTGAATTCTGAATATTTTAAAATTTTATTCTTTATTTTTTCTGAGTGTGCCCACTCTAGTCTGCAAAACACAGATTTTTGGTTTTGATTTACATGGGTTTACATATACAAATATATCACTTTATAGATAAACTTCAGGTGTAAGAGATTTGTGGTGAATGTAGTTATGTTTGTGTGTAAGTGTGTACCTATTTTGAGAAGAAAAATATCAGATCAATACAGATAAATTTTAAAAGTGTTGATAATTTACTAGGCAGGTCAAAACCTCAAAGATTCTGAAAACAAATCTGTTTTCTCTGCTTTGTATTGAATTCATTTATCTAAAATCTTATTTGTCTAAAATCTGAATTCATTTATCTAAAATCTGAGCCCCTTGGCTCAGAATCTCTTTGGAAATCCTTTGGTTTTTCTTGCCTGTTTCTTATGCTGGACCTAGTATATAATTTTCTCATTCCAAGGTTCATGTAGTATTCTTTATATGATGTCCTCTGTGATTATAAGAATGACTTTTATGAAATTTAATAGTGCTCAGAAAATAACTTTTAGACGTTAGTGTTTCTACAGCGAGTGTTTTTAAGTTACATTCATTCTTTTTCTTTTCATTGGAGAACTCCATTTAAGCCACTTTTTCTTTTGTGATTATTGTTTTTGTAATTGACATAATCAAGTTTATTGAGCTAATTTGTTTATGTAAACAATAGGAGGCTTCATACATCATGAGGTTGTTTTGGCACATAAATGAACATACGCAGGGCAGTGCTCGCTGTGTAATAGACGCTCCATAATTAGCAGTAAACATGCAGAGGCCCAGGGACTGTCATTTGTTCACTGAATTATGCCAAGCATCTAGAAAAGTGACTTTAAACATTGTGCTGAAAATATGTGTCTTTAATAAACAAACCTCAACAAGAACCTCCTTAGATAGCTGAGTTGGGTAGGGACTCCTCTTTCAGCATCCTAGAAAGTTTGTTCATTCTGTGTCAAGGACAAAATCCAGCTAGAAAGAATCTCAAATGTGGTTTACCAATGCAAAAACAGCTTTGCTTTTTATGTGCATTTTCCAAATGTTGAGGGACGCAGACCAATGAGGCAGAGGACTTCTTGGGCAAAAAGACAGAGAAAAAAAAAAATATATATATATATATATAAACAGAGCATCCTAAGTAGCCTTTGTACGGAGCCAGGCACTAGGCATCTGCTTACTGTGTCTTATGCCGTTTAGTCACTATAATAACTCTGAGGTTCATCTTTCCACTTTTCAGAGGCATAGACAGGCTCAGAGAGCTGCAGTTATATCCTTAATACCCACCTGGTAGCTAGCAGAGTCACCACTGTTTCTTGGAGGAGACAGACACCTACTAAATAGCTGGCCCAGGAACTGTGCATTGGTGGTGAAGTCCTGGTAGGAGCCCAGGAAGGTGGTAAAGGAGAAGATGGCTCAACCTGGAAGTCTAGTACCAGAGGCTCATTTAGCTTCTCCCTTTTACCTGACTGGGAGTATCTGGATTATTCTCAAGGTTTCGGGTAGACTTATTTTTATATGGAGGGGAACAAGAAGAGGCATATGGTCAATGACAGCACTGTGAACCACTGGCAGTTTGGGGGCTGCGGCTTATACCAAGAAGGTCCTATTTTTCAGAGACTTGTGCATGTGGAGGACACAGGTGTCCGTGGTGAAGGAGGTTCTAGGCTTCCAAAGTTTTATGTGGGCCAGGTGCAGTGGCTCATGCTTGTAATATCAGCACTTTGGGAGTCCAATGTGTGTGGATCACCTGAGGTCAAGAGATCAAGACCAGCCTGATCAACACGGTGAAACCCTGCCTCTACTAATAATATAAAAAATTAGCCAGGTGTGGTGGCAGGCACCTGTAATCCCAGCTACTCAGGAGGCTGAGGCAGGAGAATCACTTGAACCCAGGAGGTAGAGGTTGCAGTGAGCCAAGATTGCACCATTGCACTCCAGCCTGGGTGACAAGAGTGAAACTCCATCTGAAAATCAAAGAAACAATGACAAGAAAGTTTTATGTGGCGGTGTTAAGCCATTAACACTGTCAAGGCATCTTCATGTTACTTTGTCCTCTGTGGAGCACCAGCACCCACCTATATTAACAGCCTGTACAAAGAGAATTATCCCAGAGAGTCCTCAAAAAAGTCGTTCTTATAGAGTTGGGAAAACACAGACTCAACAGCACATAGGTCAGAACTGAGAACTGTAAACAGTGAGGCCTGCAAGAAATTTCCCTCAAGCTTCTGGAGACTCTGTCTGCTCCTCACGTGGATGGAAAGGGCCTCAAGAAGCCTCATTTTCTATTTTAGAATAGAGGCAAGACAGACACAGGGCAAGACAGCCTAGGAATACTTTTTTGACTTTAAGCAATACAATTTTTTAACATTAAAAAGAACTTTGCCAAACAACTACAATTCCAGACATGACAAGGGGGCATATGCTGGGAGAGTCCAGGATGGGAGAAAGCCCATTTAAAGGGCCAAGAATCGAAGCAGATGACTCAGGGAAAACACATATATATTAAGCAATTCAAAGATGACTCAAAAATTTTGGTCGGAAAACTGGAAATCAACGTGATTTTATTTGCCACATGGATAACAGATTGGCAACAAATTAAAATAAAGTTAACATCCGGGAGAATCTAGATTCAGGGAAGTAGCTACATTCAGACATGCTGGTGGCAGTGTACCTTCCAAAGCCCTTTTGGAAAGTGATCAGTCTGTAGCTATTACAATTTTACATATGCATATCCTTCCACCGAGTAATCTCCTGGGAGTTTGTCATCTACAAGGGAATAATATGTCCAGTGGGCTGAGTGGTGTCCCCTCCCCAAAGTTCACGTTCTCACACTCAGTGCCTCAGAATGTCACTAGTTTTGAGTTTATTGGAGTAGACCCAAATCCAATATGACTGAAGTCCTTATTAGAAGAGGCAGTAAGAACGCAGAGGTAGAAGTCAGCTATCTACAAGCCAAGAGTTCGCAGAGAAACCACCCCAGCTAACAGCTTGTTGGATTTCTATTCTCCAGGATTGTGGAAAACTAAGTTTCTGCTGTTAAAGTCCTTCAGTCTGCAGTGGTGTGTATGGACGCTCTAGCAGATGGTTACAGACTACTGGGGCACATATAGAATGTTTCCTGAAGAGTGGCCAAAATTGAAACAGAAGATCATCATGTCCAGGCTCCACCTGCATTGCAAGGCTGAACTGCTGAGGGAAATGGCCTCCTTTATGGAATATTGTGAAGCCATGTGAGGTTGCAGCTCCAGCCCTGATGGGGCTACAGGAATGAGTTCTGTGGGATAACCAATACATAGAGCAGCTTAACCATCCTTCCTCCCCCTTTTAGCTCCCTTTTTGTGTAAAAAGCGTACTAGAGTATGGACTTTTAAATCTTAAAGTTCTGGCAGGGCAGTGGGGTTGCCTGCTACAGGAAATATGTGGGGTGGGTGTTTAAGACAATATAAATAGGCTGGGCATTGTGTTTCATGCTTGTAATCCTAGCACTTTGGAAGGCTGAGGCAGGCAGATCACCTGAGGTCAGGAGTTCAGGACCAGCCTGGCTAACAAGGTGAAACCCTGTCTCTCCTAAAAATACAAAAGTTAGCTGGGTGTGGTGGCACCTGCCTGCAATCTCAGCTGCCTGGGAGGCTGAGGCAGTAGAATCGCTGGAACCCGGGAGGCAGAGGTTGCAGTGAGCAGAGATCGGGCCACTGCACTCCAGCCTGGGTGACAGAGTGAGACTCTGTCTCAAAAAAAAAAAAAAAAAGAAGAATATAGATAGCAACATAAAAAGGCACTCATGGCCTAGTGTAAACAAGACAAAGCTATTTGTCTCCTCTTTCTACAACTGTGTGAGCAAGAACTTAGCATCAAACCAAGTTTCTGTTGGAGACGAATGAAGGTCCAGTTCTTTTGGGCGGGAACTGGGGGTCACTTAGGTGTGAAAGCCCTGGGACAGAGGCAATGGAGTTTCCATATTTGAGTCTGGGTCCTGGGCCTGCCCTGATTTTCTTGGATTCCTGTCTGAGGTGACCCCTCTGTTCCTACTGTCGCCCCACTGCCGCCCCACAGCAACACTGGCCATGGTTGGTGGCATGGTGCCTGCCCTTTGTCCAAGGAGAGACAGGAGTGGTTGGAACTTCATTACTTATTTTTACTGACTCATGTGAAGCTGTGTATGGAGAGCTTGAAAGAGCTGGGCCAAAAGGTGTCAGTAACCTGCCTGGCTATTTCTGCAAGGAGAAAGCCCAATTAGAAATTCTGCCCCCCAGATCACACACATAGGAGCATCTGCATAGACTTCCCAGCCAGAGAGAAAACCAGATTGCAGTGTGAAGTCTTGGGTTAGCATCTGAGTGGACAAACTTGTTCCCAACACTCACTTCTTTATCCTGCCAGCCATGACCTGAATATGATCTTGGTAGACCCATCAGATTCCCAACACCTGACAGCCTGCTCCTGTCCAGGGAGAGAAGCCTATCTTGGCCTCCGATAAACATAGGTGGAGTGGGTAGAAATGGGGCGTCAGGTGGGATCTTAGGCAAGGTCTGGCCTGGATGGGTCTGCCCTGAGTTGCCCTGTGTTACCTATGGGTGCCCCCTGCCAAGGATTTCACTTTAAGCCTTCCACAGATGAGAACCCCAGGAAGTCAGGATATAGCAGAGAATGATCTTGCTCTTGAGCTACCTGCATGAAATTAGCTTGATACAGGCTGTGTCTTGAATAAGGGTTTCTGGTTACCAGAGTTTGAATTCTGGTGGGTCTGTCACCAAGGACATGAAGTTACTTGAAGGTTCCATCACCTGGGCCCCTTCCTTCAGTACGACCTGCTCACAGGCTCTGCTGGGTCCTGACTACTCAGCCTCCTTAACTATATCAACTTCTGAAACTGTCTTAATTGCAAATGATATAACTGCTATATAAAAACGCAAGAGTTTCAACAAATTACCACTAGAATTAATAAGTTAATCAGTGTCACAAGGTACAAGATACACATAAAAAAGTATACTTAAAGCAACCAACAATGAAAATAAAATATATACATTTGATTTATAATAACTCAAAAAAATTAGAAAAAGTAATGGGTGCAACAATTTTACACTTTTTTTTTTTTTTTTTTTTTTTGGACAAGGTCTGCTCTGTTGCCCAGGCTGGAGGCAGTGGTGTTGACTACAGCTCACTGCAGTCTCGACTTCTCCTGACTCTGATCCACCTGCCTCAGCCTCAGCAGTAGTTGGGACTACAGGTGTGCGCCACCATGCCTGACTAATGTTTGTATTTTTGTAGAGACAGGTTTCTCCAATGCCTCCCACTCTGGTTCCAACTAGGCTCAAGCAATCTGCCTGCTTCCTGCCTACTATAGTGTTGGGATTATAATGGAGCCACCATGCCTGGCCTACACTTAATCTTTTATTAATGCTGGGAAAGAAATCAAGATTCAAATAATTGAAAGGTGTCTAATTTTTAAGGATGAAAATAATATTTCCAAGATAACAATATCCCACAAATGGACCGAGAAATTCGATATAATCCCTTCAAATTCCCAGCTATGTTTTTATGTAGAAATTGACAACTCTCCCCCCAGCAAAACCGATATAGATATGCACAGGAAACCAAATACAGGAAATGATCTTGAAGAACAACTGACTTCCACTTCCCAATACAAATTCTTGGCTGCAGGCCAGGCGTGGTAGGTCGCACCTGTAATCCCAGGACTTTGGGAGGCCGAGGGGGGCGGATCACTGGAGGTCAGGAGCTCCAAATCAGTCTGGTCAACATGGTGAAACTCTGTCTCTACTAAAAATATGTGAAAATTAGGTGGGCGGGTCGTGGGCGCCTGTAATCCCAGCTACTTGGGCAGGCTGAGGCAGAAGAATTGCTTGAACCTATGGAGGAGGAGGGTTGCTGTGGAGCTGAGATCACAGCAATACACTCCATCACATGGGTGACAGAGTGACTCCGCTCAAAAAAAAAAAAAAAAAAAATCTTACTGCAAAAGAATAAATGGCTACTCTCGCTTCCTCCCCACTTTTTTTCCTCTGTCAAGACAGAATTACAGAGTAACTTGAACACTCTGTGATACGGCCAGCTCAGCCTGTGGTTTTTCCCTGCAGGCTTCAACCT